AAGAAGTAGTTGTAAGATGTTGATAAGTTAGTTCATAGCTACAAGAGTCTGGGTTAGTTGTAACAACAATAGGACAAACACACACAGACATTCATGTTAAAAATTAATTTAAGTGTTGAACAAAATCTTTGAAAATTGTGTTTTTCTCACATTCCTTCTTATTTCTTTTTACTATCTAAGGGTGAGTCCAGATTTGTGTGTGGCAAACCTGACTGTGATGTTGAGTGGCCATATGAGGAGGTTTGTAAAATGGCTCTTCTAACCAAAGAAGAAATGAAGTACTTTGAAAAGAAAATGTTCCATAACGCTGCCAAGGATTACTTGAATGTCAAATTTGTAAGTATCTCAGTGACTCTGTATTTACACTTTTGTTTACAAATTGTTCTTGTTGTGCATGAACACTCAAGGGTGAATAAAAAACCTCTCATTATGTGTAAATTCACTCAACAGTGTCCTGGCTGCAAGTCTTGTGTGGTGAGGGCTGATCTCAGTGATCTGGGTGTCGAGTGCACAAAGTGCACAGCTGCCAAAAGAAGACCTTTCAGATTCTGCTGGCAGTGTTTGAGGGAATGGAAAGGTCCGGCTCCACGTTCAGACCGCTGTGAAAATGATGGCTGCGTCAATGAGCCATTAGAAACACTGAGAAACTGTCCAGATATCGTCTTTGAGTCTGTGAAGGGCGTCACTGGCTGTCCCTGCATCCGTGCCTGTCCCACCTGTGGTTTTCTGGTGGAGCATAACAGAACTCAGTGTAAAACCATCGTCTGTTCTCGCTGTAAGGTGAAGTTCTGCTTTGTTTGTCTGCAGTTCACTGAAGAGTGCCTGAAGCGCAACGCATACAAACTTTGCCCCACTGGTGTTGCACCGAGACAGACCTCGATACCTGTGTGGCAGAAAAAGTTATTTTATAATGTCAATCATCATAACTGATGTTACTCAGCCAGGATCTCAACCCCACACCAACTTTTAGTAGTAGTTATAAAGCTTTAGAGCTCTTTTGTACCATCTTTCCATAATTGGAACATTTTACATAGACAACTAAGTTTATTCTGTTTTTCACTTTGCTGGATTTTGCTTTAGCTTCTTTATCACAATGTTTCAGTGTGTCATCATTCTGATCTCCATAATATCTTTATTCAGTCTGTTCATTTCACATATTATTGTTTATTTTTAAGTTATGCTCCTTTGTTTATTCTCCTAAAACAAGACCTTTTTAAAGCATAATGTACTTAATACTAACAAGGAAAGCACAGCCTGACTTGTGATTGAAGCAGGAAACTAACATTGTCTAAAGGAGCAATGTCAGTGTGCAGACATTACCTTTCGTCAGGGCACAAAACCAAGCTCAGGTATCTTTGTACTGTAGAGTTAAAAAGACAGCTAATAGAAAAAAATTATAATATGAATAAATGTCAAATATGTTTATCAAAAGTGCTGTGAGTAGTTTTGTCTAACTTATAAATATCATTGGCACATTAATTTGTATATATTGAACCTTGTTATTCTTAGAAATTGTTGATGTGTGACAAACACACATAGCAATAACATCTTTTTACTATTGGCCCCACTCTGCCTCCCTCTGGCTGGACCACAAATGACAACATCTGATTACTGTGAATGACAATAACTATGTACTGAGCTGCTGGTAATGTTAGAGAAATTCTAAATCTAGAAAATCTTTCTTCTCAAAGAAAGTTCATGTACATGTCAGAATCTACTTAGAAACCATATCGTGAATTATTATGCCTTTCAAACAATACGCACTTTTGCATCATGACTTTTTTGTATTATCAAAATAAAAATGTTTGTCAGCTTCTATTTAAAATGTATACAAATTCATAAATAAATGCTCTTCCTCATTCACAACTGTGGTAAATATAGGCTACATAGATATAAACACAGTTAAAATAAACATTACTCTAATCCGTCGACACCTTCTCTATTATAAATTTCCTGGTTGAAAGAAAGTCTCTAACTACGAGTCCAATGCGTTTTTAAGTTTTGAAGATTATGTCCTCCCCTCTCATATGCCTCACAGTGTTTTGGTCCGCTGCCAGACCCTCAGCAACTTAATATCTTAAAAGTGACTATAGTGATCTATCCCTCTCCTCTTGCAGGCAGGAGGGACAGGAAGTTGCTATGGTTACGCTCTTCATCTCCATCGTTCTGAAAAGGTGGTAGATGACCAGTAGAAACAGTTAATGAACAAACAAAAACAACAAGAAATACATATAAATAAATGTGTCTTTTGCGGTTTTTGTGTGTTTTCTGGCCTGTGTGATCCCCCGCCCTGGTTTCAGCTGTCCCTCCTTATCATTATCATTTGTATCCTGTATGTTCGCTTGTCTAGGTGCTTTTCTTTCTCTTATGTGTTGAGCATCCCAGCCCATTCTTACTATTATCTCTGTGCTTTTTGGTCCTTCACCTTGATTTCTGGGCCGTTGCCTGTTTAATGGGCATTGATATACTGCTTAATGTGTTTGCCCACATTGTACTGTTTATCTGGTGTTGACCGGTGGCTGCCTGATCATCCCATAACATTTACTGTACCTTTTTGATGTTGTCCATAAATGAATTGAACTGCTCCAGCTCTGCCTTGGAGTCTACAATTTAATCTAGTCTCTTGCTTCTCTTTGCACAACTAGTGCGCATATAGCATTGCAATAACTGAAATGCATAAAAAGGGAGGATCTGAAGTTTCTCTGTCTTCATGTTTGACCCAGAGTTCAGTTTTCTGATTTTGTTCTTCATCACTGTCATTTATTTTCTGTTCCACCTCATCTCTACCTGTTCCTTCAGATTACCTGATTTGTTGTTCCTTTGCCTTGTCTGTCAGTTCTGAATTGGTTTTAGAGGCCTCTGAGACTCAATAAGGCTTTGAAGTGGAGAAAAGTAACATTCAGTAATGATCTGTTAATACTGGAGAACTGAATTTAATGTTTTAAATGTTCTTACCTCTGTACATGAGCATATATGCAGTCTGGGAACTGTTGAACAATGATTTATTTATTAATAATTTGTTGTTTGAACAGGAAAGTAACATGTGCATACATGTGCCACTGCGTGTAGGGCAAGAGCAGCTTTGAAAGATGGCCCTCCAACACTTTGAGGCCAATTTCAGAGTGCCCCAGGTTTTAGCCGCAGTTGTGATAACGTTTAACCGCAGGATGAGATGCTAGTACACCCTGTCCCCCCTCAAAAGTTATTCCCGACTGTTTATCATAATGCCTCTCTGCCACTTGTCGTTACAAGCACCGTGGCATCAAACATAACGAGCCTGGCGCTCCACGTGTTCACACAAGTGTTTTTTATTATATGCAGTTGTTGGTGTAATGGAAACCAGCGAACCTGTGTGTCACTGGTTCGAGTCAGGACCATGTAGTACAACTTGGGGTTACATTGGCCAAGGAGGGATGGGCAGTTCTTTTTTTGCTGGTGGTTGTTTCTCAGAAAAAATGTGCTGAAGCCGTGCTGAAGATATTGAGCTTGACTTACAGAGAGCATACACAAGGAGGGGGGCAGTGATTGACACTGTTGTTTTGTACAGAGCAGTTGATTTTTGCAAATGGCATTGGGAGCAGTAGGAGGAGCCAGAGGACCCTGACTATCTCTCTCATGTTCTGTTTTCAAAATATAGTGACACTTTCAGCAAATATGACACAAATTTATTTTTCAAAGAATTCCATACTGCAGCTTTAATGAGATGCTTTGTTTAGCGTTTTTATATTTATATCTTGGTATTTACAATTAATGCCACGGAGTTATATTAATGCCAGAACAATCAGGGCAGCTGTGTCTTCTCCTACCCACTTGGCCTACATACCCAGAAAAAAGGTCTGATGGTCTCTTGTTGGATGTTTTAATAATTGTATTACTTTTAAACTTAATTTTGCACAATGCTCAAACTGACTATTTTTCAAAAAATTTTGAATTTCCTGCATTTTTTTGTTATCATTAAAGTTAGTCTCGTTGTTAGCAGTGCAGAACAATGTTAGAAAATCAAGACAGGTCTCTTTGCTGTAGGTCACTCTACAAGCAGACCTGATAAGCAAAGTTAATATTATTGTCACAAACCACACTGTTTTCAAGCAGATAATATTAAACAACAAACTTACGTTAAATAAACAATGCACATATAGATTTGTGACTCAGGCCTACATGTAGGCCTATTTTACCTATCTTCTTAACATAATGGACTATTTGATATTGGCTGACTGCAGTAAGCTGCCGTAGAAATATAAAGTAACAGGACACTCAGTAATTTTTAAGTCCTCATCAGATGCTTCCTGACAGTCTCAGCAGTGCATGAACTGTAGACATGTGCTTTAGCTTCTCTTGCATCTTGGATCCGAAGATAATCAGCAAGTCATCATCTTAAATCGAAAGTAAATAGTCTTAACAATTATGATTATGAGGCTGTAGTACATTGGCACTGAAGTGCAAACCACAACAGCATTTCACCAACACGACTGCAATTCGCCACCACACTACAACAATTCGCCACAACACGACAGCAAATCGCCATAACACGACTGTGTTTCGCCAAAACATGACTGCAAATCGCCACTTCACTTCAGGGCCACCGTACTAGAGGGTATGTGTTTATAGCCTACAGACTAAACCTCTAAAATTGTTTTTGAGTCTTTGGGTGAAAGGATGGCTTCACTAAATGGCGATTTTTACACGTCATCATAGCTGCTGTTACTCAGATGGGAACTCAACCTTATACCAGCTTTTAAAACAGGAATACAATTTCCATGAAAGGGTGTACATGGTCTGCAACAATTCTTAGCATTATGCATTATGAACGTACAAGCTGTCTGCATGCTGCGTGACGGAAATGTCTTTTGCTCTGTCCTGGGTCTGAAAAATCAGCCATGTGTGGTGCATGGAAACACAGTAGTCTGGATGTTGTCCACAGTCCTCAGATTCAGGCCTGTACAGGAATATATAGTTGTTAGAACCCCAAAATTGAAAGATTGGTGTAACTGGAAACATGATCAGTTATCAACATGATAAGATATTTTTATTGAACAGGGCTTTGTTGTTCTCTGACAGGACTTCTGTGTCCACATTACACACCTGGTCAATCTACAAAACATAGATGAGGCAATGGCTGAAACAGAGTGCAGTCCTCTTCAGACACAACAATTCTGTCATTGTGGAAGACCTAATGTACAAAATAGTGTATATATTATGACTCTTACACAAAATTCACGTTTGTGTTGCATAACTGATGGTAACAGGAAAGTTTCTATCAATACAACCTGTTTTTAGCTTTGCCTACTGTTACCACAGCTATCTGTTGCTAACAGTTAGCTAGCCAGCTCCTTACTGAATCGATCAGACTCAGTCTATTTTAACTGCAGATCCAACCCCTCTGGTCAAAGGACAAATAAAATATCCTAAAAACGAGGAGACAGAGTGTGGAAACAACAGGGGCATCTCACTACTGTCAACAACTTGGAAGATTGTTGCCCACCTTCTCTTCAGGACACTCAGTGTGGTTTTTGTCCTACACATGGCACAACCAGCATGATCTTCACAGTCAGACAGTTACAAGAGAAATACAAGGAGCAAGAAACATTTTACATAAAGGAGCCACTTTCCATGAAGACAATCTTCGACAGGCTGCCAGACTCATAGCAGCAAAGACAGGAGAAAGTCTCCACCAAAACTCACTTCCTCTTCCACTTCCAGCTCCTTACATAAACACTCACACTGCAAGAAAGTTTCCATAACTATTATATAACTATTCCAGCATTGGCCTGTTCAGCCTTTTGAAGACCCACAATAAGGACCCCCCAGGTGCACCTTTGAGTGATTGTTGATGATAATGATGAAGTGGGGGCTACGTACGTGTCAAAGTAACATCAACCAAAGCATCACACTGCCTCCGACGTCTTGCCTTCTGCCCATAGTGCATCCTGGTGTGATGTGTTCCCCAGGGAAGCGACACATCCGCACGTAGCCATCCGTGTGAAGTAAAAGAAGCATGATTCATCAGACTAGGCCAACTTCTTCCATTGCTTCCTGTTCAAGTTCTGATGCTCACGTGCCCATTGTAGCAACTTTCGGCAGTGGACAGGGGTCAGCACGGGCACCCTGAATGGTCTGCGGCCACGTAGCCCCGTACGCAATAACCTGCGAACTGTGTGTTCTGACACCTTTCTATCAGAACCAGAATTAACTTTTTCAGTAATCTGACCTACAGTAGCTCATCTGTTGGATGGGACCTTGGCCTTAACCGCCCAAGACCCAGTCACAGTCACCCATTCACCGCTGTTCCTTCCCTGGACAAAATGTTCACTTGTTGGCTAATATGTCCAACCCACTGACACCCATGTGTAAATATTATTTCATTTCATTTAAAATCATGCACAAACCTGGCACATTGCACATATTTGTTGTTAATTGTTGTTATTCTATATTTTGTTAATTTATATGTTTATGCACACTCTATCCTCTTCCGTTGCAATACGTATGCACAACACAAATGCACATAAATATCTGCCATGTTGTTCTTTGTCTGCAAATAGCTGTATTATTTTTCTCTATTCTATTATCATTCTCATATAACTTGCATCTGTTATTCCATTTTTATTTATTTCTACATTTATTTATGTCAACTGTATGTTTGTCTACGTGTAGCACCTTATCACCAAAGCAAATTCCTCGTACATGTAAAATGCTACTTGGCTATAAATTTCTGATTCTGATTCTGATTCCCTGACAGGTGCCATGGTAACGACATAATAATTGTTATTCACTTCACCTCTTAGTGGTCACAGTGTTATGGCTGACAGGTGTATGTTCCATGTAATTATTCTGTCCTTCCATAGGCCATTTTATTATTCACTGTGACTCAGCTGCTGAGTTTCTGCAAATGCTCAATCACAACTGTGGTAAAAATACATAGATACTGTACATGTAAACACAGTCATCTTTCATCAACACCTATTTCAAAACAAACAGTAATCTTCTGTAATCTGTGGTCTCTTTAACAGATTCCCTGGATGAAAAAAAATGTCCATAAAAAATAAGGCAGGTAGAGAAGAGTGAAACGTGTTGTTAATGTTTCTTATGTGTATTTATTACAAAAGTCATCATGTTGTTTTCTGTGGTGACTACAGTGTGCTTTCATAGTAAATCATATTATATTATATATAACACATTGCTTTGTAAATTGTGTTTTTATTTCAAATTCACAGAATTAAACAACCATATAGGTTGACCATGTGATTTAACTATGGTCAGAGTAATCTCTGTCAGCAGAACAGCAGGAGGTAGTTATGGTTACGCTCTTTGTCTCCGTCGTTCAGAAACTTTGCAACAACACAGGAGAAGAGTAAGGTGGGGTTGTAGGTGAGCAGCACAAACAAATGCACAAACAATAAATCCAACAAATCCATAAATAAAAATAAGGGCCTTTCTGGATGTTGGATGCTGAAGTTCTGCAAGGTTTCAGAGAATTCTCATCTTGTGGGAAAGTAAGTGAGAATTTTTTTTTTTTTCAGACATAGGGCTTACACCTCTTGTTATTGATTTAGTTAACTTATTTCCTGTTTTATGTTGTAAGAGTCTTTCTTCATGTGTCTTGTGCTGCTTCACTTCCTGTGTTTGTGTGTTTTCTGCCTTGTTTGATTGTCTGCCGAGCACTGGTTTTACCTGTCCCTCCTTATCTCCCCCTTATTTGTTTATTTGACTGGGACAGTGCTCATTAATTAAAAGTAAAATAACTGTAAATGAGCCTGAGTTTGCTCAATAGGCTAATTTTCTGTAAATAATCTGTTGTCCCTGGCCAGTTATTAAAAGGTCAACCTAAAATAAAGATTTAAAATGACATAAAATGACTTATTACAGTCTGCACGTAATAACAATACATACAGAATAATAGTCAGACAGCTACAACACACAAAAATAAGTAACAAACAACATATTAGACAAACCATAACAAGAAAAGAAAAAAAACTGACAAAGACAATCTGCAAGCAAGCAACTCAGTGGGCAGTAGGTAGTCTAATGTGCACATATTTGATTAATTAGCCACTTCATTAGCTGACCAGTAAAAGAACGATAAGTATTTGCTTCTCTTATCAGCATTGGCAATAGATTCCATTGTTTAGATTCTGTTACAGAGAACGCTGAATGACTAAAAGCACTTCTTCGTTTATAAAGAGTTTCGAGTGGCTTCATTGTGCATTTGTTAGCCTGTGCCCAGCTTGTCAGACAATATGTAATGTATGTTTGTAATACGTATGTAGTCTGTATGTTTCCTTGTCTAGGTGCTAGTCAGTCTTTCTCATATGTGCAGCAGCCCATTCCTAGTGTTTTGTGGAAAGCCTTGTGCCTTTTTAATTTTGTGCAAGGTTATTGAATTGCTCCAGCTAGGCATTTATTGTCCTGTCTCTTGTTTACCTGTTATGCTACTTGCACAACTGTGATACATGTAACATTGCAATAACTGAAATGCATAAGGATGAGGCAGGATCTGAATTTCTGGAGGTGTGTGCAGCAGAAGTTTCTCTGTCTTTGTGGTTGACCCTTTACATTACATTACATGCTATTGCTATACATGTCAGAGGTCGCACGCCTCTGAAGCAACTAGGAGTTAAGTGTCTTGCTCAGGGACACCATTGGTGTCTCACGGTGGATTCGAACCCAGGTCTCTCACATCAAGGGCATGTGTCTTATCCACTGCTCCATCACCCTCCCCCCCACCAGTTTTCAGTTATCTGTCATCACTGTCATTTATTTTATGTTCTACCTCATCTCCACCTGTTCCTTCAGATTACCTGATTTAACCTTTTGTTCCTTTGTCTTGTCTGTCAGAACTTCTGAATTGGTTTTACGGGCCTCTGAGACTCTATAAGGCTTTGAAGTGGAGGAAAAGTAACATTCAGTAATGATCTGTTAATATTGGTGAACTGAACTTAATTGAACTGAAACGTTTTATGTTCTTACCTCTGTACACGAGCAGATATGCAGTCTGGGAACTGTTGAACAATCATATTTATTAATAATTTGTTGTTGGAACAAGAAAATAACAATACTGAGTGAACACATTCAGATGATATAACATATTAAAACTGGATTCACAAACATACCTGTAAGTCTTTTTTGCAAATGGTTGTCCTTCAGCCTATACCATTGAGAAGAACATTCAACACATTTACTGTTATTTGTGTTTGTGGGTTTTGTATAAGCGCCTTATTAGTGGATGTGTTATATTAATCCTCACCTTTTTTACGTTAGTGTCATTAAACTCGTACCAGGTGTTATCCTCATTGGACAGGATGATGGCTGTGTAATGTCCAAATCTTAGCTGACCCACGTGATTCACCATCCCATTCAGTTTGTACGTCTTGTTCTACAGTGAAAAAGACTTATTAAAGCTGCAACAATTGAACGCACAGTGCAAAACCTTCTGTTTCACTCTCTCCACTGATCGTATCACTCTGCTAAGCCCCACTCATTAAACCCACAAACCCACAAACCCGCCCTGCGAAGCCTCAGTGAGAGCAAGCTCGTCGAAAGACTCCACTCTGACACTTTGCCACCCAGGGCAGAACGCCACCTGCTTCAGAAGCAGCTGTGACAACTTCTAACAGCAGTAAGAGAGGCCAGTAGCTACACCACTGTTCCAGCTCAAAAGTTATTCCCCACTGTCATCCTACTTCTTTGTCACTCGTGAATATGCGCGCCATGTCATTGAGCGTAATGAGCCAGAGCTCCATGGAGACTGGCATGTTCATGTTTTTGTATTAAATGCAGTTGTTGTAGGAAAATGAGGGATGGGCAGTTCTTTTATTGCTGGTGCTTGTTTCACAGACATTGTGTTTGCAAAACTTCAGAAGCCGCGTTAAAGATATAGGGCTCTATCTTGCAACGCAGCAAAGTGTCATTACTAGTTTCGAACCGGCACATTTGACATTTTCACGCCAAGCTGTCTGTCTGTTAACAGACTCCAGTCTGCAGTGGAGTTCAGACACCTCACTGATAAACCACAGAGCTGCAGAGTACGTACAAGTAACGTAGTAAGTACAACTATTTTTTCATGTCCCAAACGCAACTGAACCATGCGTTTCACACCGTGGAATTGGAATTGGCATAGCCAAAAGTGAGTTGTTTTGCTTTACTGAGTGAGAGTGTGCCCCTTCACAGTGATCGGCTCTGAGTTCGAGATTTCTCCTGGCTCTAGTTTCGATTCTTGCAAATGGAATAAGAAGCACAATTTAAGCAAATATGACAAAAAGTGTTTTTATTTTATTTTTCCCAACTGCAGTTTTAAGGAGGTTAATGTAATCCAGCTCAGACATTGCTGCTTTGTTAGATGCAAACTTTTTATGACTTCCCTTTTGCCCGTGCTTGTGCCCATATTTGCAATTTTCTATTTTCTTTAGAACCACATGTAGTAAACAATGGACTACGCTGCAACAACAGTGAGCTGCGTTAAACTATAAGAAATCTGACTCTTGTTGATGGACAAACTTGGCAATTTATTGAAAGCACAAATACCTTATAAGAGAGACCTAAGTCTTACAGATCACAACCCTACTCATATTTTATAAAGTTACTTCTCCTCACCTTTATTTGTAATGAAGGTGGCACATCCACAGAGCGGTCTGATTTGATATGTGACATGGTGTTGTAGTCAATATCAAATCTCTTGAGGAGTAGAATCAGAGTCTGAGGAAATTTCACCATCTCACATTCCTGAATAACACAAGCAACATTATTAAAGAACATTTTACCACAAACAGTAACAGGTGGGATTTAATTTAAAGTAAAAACTCACCCTGGTCGCCTCCGTTTCCTTTTTACATTCGTTGCAGAACACCTTATTGCCTCCACTGAATGATTTAGAGTCAAAAATCCTTTGAAAGCCTTTTTCCTGTGACAAATAAATAATTAATACATATCACCAACAGACCAATCTCACATCATCATGCAATGACACACAACTTACCGCACTGTAGGTTGAATCATCAGTATCTCTTAGTGACAGCTGAAGACTCCAAAATGCATTTGTCTCTTCGTTAATAATGTGCACTTCTGTTGTGCATGTTGTTTTGTAGGTCAGCGCTCCTTCAAAAACCTTCAGACAGAATTTTCTATCAATACAGAAATCAGATGTCTTCACCTAGAAGTTGCAGTCCAGGTTTTTTTTTACATGCTCACCTCAGAGACTTGAGGGCTGACCTTATCTAAAATCCACTCCAGGCATTCAGCAGCATCACACTGTTGATAAACTGCAGAGCAAAACATCCAGTTTACTAATTCCATCAATCTGACAAGTGAATATCCTACTAACAGCACATTACTCTTTGATCTTCTGCTGATTACAGTCCAGCTTACCATCTGCAATCCCCAATGTTTTTGTGATGGTTTCTGTTCCACATGTTTTCATCTTCAAGCCTTCAAAGATATTTCTCAGCTGAAGATCTGTTTGTATTTCTGGATCCAACCTTAAGGCAGAGAATAGTTTCTCAAATGAATAATCACTGTTTACTGCCAGTTAATATGTTACTGATGGAGATTTGTGAATTTGAAACACCCATTTAGACCCAAATGAATCACTTTATAATAATATTTCCTGTTGATAATTTGCAATACAATTTTTTACATTTACTCTAGTTGCTTTACTTTTTCTTATATTTGCTACATATGAAAGCAGCTGTTTCGAACCTGTTGTGGACCTCTGGTGTCATGAAGAGAACTTGCAAGATGCTGTTGAGGTAACATGTGGATCCTTGATTATACAGACCATAATAACATTTCTGTGGCCGAGTCACTAAAAAGAAAGAAAAACACAGACTCATTCTTGTTCTTTGTGCAGCAGATGCAGGTCCTGATATCCAACATGAAATAAATTAGTGTCACGACTGAACAACTCATTCTAATAGATGAGGGCTGAATTACTTTCACTTGATTCTGATCTGTCCCTTACCAACGTCACTGTGTCCCATCTCCCTCTTCTCTTCATCCTCGTCTTCTTCTTCTACCTCTGTGTGTTTCCCCTCATCCTGCACCAGTTTGTTACTGTCGTTCAGCTTCATCTGTCTGTCTGGTCGGACGCTCTCTGGGTTTGTAAGAAAAGTAATTTACTCAGTAATTCATTCAGCAAAAGTCTGTTAATATTAAAGTAATAGCTTACATTTTCACCTCACCTGCTAAAAATCTGATAAATTAAATTTTAAAGCACAGAAATCACAGAAGGAGGACAGCTGCACCATGTTAACATGTTACTGACAGAGACTTGTAAATTTGAAAAACACATTTAGAACCAAATAAAACACTTTATGATAATGTTTCCTGTTAATAATGTGCATAATGTTTTGTTAAATTATATCTGTTACAGATGAAAGCAGCTGTTTCAAACCTTTCGTGGACCTCTGGTGTCTTGGAGAAAACTTGCTGGTCACTGTTGAGGGAACATGTGCCTCCCTGATTAGACAGACCATCGTGAACTTTCGTGGCCGAGTCACTAAAAAGAAAGAAAAACACAGACTCATTCTTGTTCTTTGTGCAGCAGATGCAGGTCCTGATGTCCAACATGAAATAAATTAGTGTCACGACTGAACAACTCATTCTAATAGATAGATATATACTTTATTTATCCCGAGGGAAATTCAAGTATCCAGTAGCATACAAAACATACATACATTAAACCTTTATTAAAATAGAATTAAAATTAAAATAACTTATAACACAGTAGCCACAGTAAAACAGTGCATAAACAGTAAGCAGAGCAAATGGAGTGAAGATGGAATGAAAAAGATGAGGGCTGAATTACTTTCCCTTGATTCTGATCTGTCCCTTACCAACGTCACTGTGTCCCATCTCCCTCTTCTCTTCATCCTCGTCTTCTTCTTCTACCTCTGTGTGTTTCCCTCATCCTGCACCAGTTTGTTACTGCTTTCATCCTGTCGTTCAGCTGCATCATCTGTCTGACCTTCTGGATCGGTCGGACGCTCTCTGGGTTTGTAAGAAAAGTAATTTACTCAGTAATTCATTCAGCAAAAGTCTGTTAATATTAAAGTAATAGCTTACATTTTCACCTCACCTGTTAAAAATCTGATAAATTAAATTTTAAAGCACAGAAATCACAGAAGGAGGACAGCTGCACCATGTTAACATGTTACTGATGGAGACTTGTAAATTTGAAAAACACATTTAGAACCAAATAAAACACTTTATGATAATGTTTCCTGTTAATAATGTGCATAATGTTTTGTTAAATTATATCTGTTACAGATGAAAGCAGCTGTTTCAAACCTTTCGTGGACCTCTGGTGTCTTGGAGAAAACTTGCTGGTCACTGTTGAGGGAACATGTGCCTCCCTGATTAGACAGACCATCGTGAACTTTCGTGGCCAAATCACTAAAAAGAAAGAAAAACACAGACTCATTCTTGTTCTTTGTGCAGCAGATGCAGGTCCTGATGTCCAACATGAAATAAATTAGTGTCACGACTGAACAACTCATTCTAATAGATAGATATATACTTTATTTATCCCGAGGGAAATTCAAGTATCCAGTAGCATACAAAACATACATACATTAAACCTTTATTAAAATAGAATTAAAATTAAAATAACTTATAACACAGTAGCCACAGTAAAACAGTGCATAAACAGTAAGCAGAGCAAATGGAGTGAAGATGGAATGAAAAAGATGAGGGCTGAATTACTTTCCTTGATTCTGATCTGTCCCTTACCAACGTCACTGTGTCCCATCTCCCTCTTCTCTTCATCCTCGTCTTCTTCTTCTACCTCTGTGTGTTTCTCCTCATCCTGCACCAGTTTGTTACTGCTTTCATCCTGTCGTTCAGCTGCATCATCTGTCTGACCTTCTGGATCGGTCGGACGCTCTCTGGGTTTGTAAGAAAAGTAATTTACTCAGTAATTCATTCAGCAAAAGTCTGTTAATATTAAAGTAATAGCTTACATTTTCACCTCACCTGCTAAAAATCTGATAAATTAAATTTTAAAGCACAGAAATCACAGAAGGAGGACAGCTGCACCATGTTAACATGTTACTGATGGAGACTTGTAAATTTGAAAAACACATTTAGAACCAAATAAAACACTTTATGATAATGTTTCCTGTTAATAATGTGCATAATGTTTTGTTAAATTATATCTGTTACAGATGAAAGCAGCTGTTTCAAACCTTTCGTGGACCTCTGGTGTCTTGGAGAAAACTTGCTGGTCACTGTTGAGGGAACATGTGCCTCCCTGATTAGACAGACCATCGTGAACTTTCTGTGGCCAAATCACTAAAAAGAAAGAAAAACACAGACTCATTCTTGTTCTTTGTGCAGCAGATGCAGGTCCTGATGTCCAACATGAAATAAATTAGTGTCACGACTGAACAACTCATTCTAATAGATAGATATATACTTTATTTATCCCGAGGGAAATTCAAGTATCCAGTAGCATACAAAACATACATACATTAAACCTTTATTAAAATAGAATTAAAATTAAAATAACTTATAACACAGTAGCCACAGTAAAACAGTGCATAAACAGTAAGCAGAGCAAATGGAGTGAAGATGGAATGAAAAAGATGAGGGCTGAATTACTTTCACTTGATTCTGATCTGTCCCTTACCAACGTCACTGTGTCCCATCTCCCTCTTCTCTTCATCCTCGTCTTCTTCTTCTACCTCTGTGTGTTTCCCCTCATCCTGCACCAGTTTGTTACTGCTTTCATCCTGTCGTTCAGCTGCATCATCTGTCTGACCTTCTGGATCGGTCGGACGCTCTCTGGGTTTGTAAGAAAAGTAATTTACTCAGTAATTCATTCAGCAAAAGTCTGTTAATATTAAAGTAATAGCTTACATTTTCACCTCACCTGCTAAAAATCTGATAAATTAAATTTTAAAGCACAGAAATCACAGAAGGAGGACAGCTGCACCATGTTAACATGTTACTGATGGAGACTTGTAAATTTGAAAAACACATTTAGAACCAAATAAAACACTTTATGATAATGTTTCCTGTTAATAATGTGCATAATGTTTTGTTAAATTATATCTGTTACAGATGAAAGCAGCTGTTTCAAACCTTTCGTGGACCTCTGGTGTCTTGGAGAAAACTTGCTGGTCACTGTTGAGGGAACATGTGCCTCCCTGATTAGACAGACCATCGTGAACTTTCTGTGGCCGAGTCACTAAAAAGAAAGAAAAACACAGACTCATTCTTGTTCTTTGTGCAGCAGATGCAGGTCCTGATGTCCAACATGAAATAAATTAGTGTCACGACTGAACAACTCATTCTAATAGATAGATATATACTTTATTTATCCCGAGGGAAATTCAAGTATCCAGTAGCATACAAAACATACATACATTAAACCTTTATTAAAATAGAATTAAAATTAAAATAACTTATAACACAGTAGCCACAGTAAAACAGTGCATAAACAGTAAGCAGAGCAAATGGAGTGAAGATGGAATGAAAAAGATGAGGGCTGAATTATTTTCCCTTGATTCTGATCTGTCCCTTACCAACGTCACTGTGTCCCATCTCCCTCTTCTCTTCATCCTCGTCTTCTTCTTCTACCTCTGTGTGTTTCCCCTCATCCTGCACCAGTTTGTTACTGCTTTCATCCTGTCGTTCAGCTGCATCATCTGTCTGACCTTCTGGATCGGTCGGACGCTCTCTGGGTTTGTAAGAAAAGTAATTTACTCAGTAATTCATTCAGCAAAAGTCTGTTAATATTAAAGTAATAGCTTACATTTTCACCTCACCTGCTAAAAATCTGATAAATTAAATTTTAAAGCACAGAAATCACAGAAGGAGGACAGCTGCACCATGTTAACATGTTACTGAGAGACTTGTAAATTTGAAAAACACATTTAGAACCAAATAAAACACTTTATGATAATGTTTCCTGTTAATAATGTGCATAATGTTTTGTTAAATTATATCTGTTACAGATGAAAGCAGCTGTTTCAAACCTTTCGTGGACCTCTGGTGTCTTGGAGAAAACTTGCTGGTCACTGTTGAGGGAACATGTGCCTCCCTGATTAGACAGACCATCGTGAACTTTCTGTGGCCAAATCACTAAAAAGAAAGAAAAACACAGACTCATTCTTGTTCTTTGTGCAGCAGATGCAGGTCCTGATGTCCAACATGAAATAAATTAGTGTCACGACTGAACAACTCATTCTAATAGATAGATATATACTTTATTTATCCCGAGGGAAATTCAAGTATCCAGTAGCATACAAAACATACATACATTAAACCTTTATTAAAATAGAATTAAAATTAAAATAACTTATAACACAGTAGCCACAGTAAAACAGTGCATAAACAGTAAGCAGAGCAAATGGAGTGAAGATGGAATGAAAAAGATGAGGGCTGAATTACTTTCACTTGATTCTGATCTGTCCCTTACCAACGTCACTGTGTCCCATCTCCCTCTTCTCTTCATCCTCGTCTTCTTCTTCTACCTCTGTGTGTTTCCCCTCATCCTGCACCAGTTTGTTACTGCTTTCATCCTGTCGTTCAGCTGCATCATCTGTCTGACCTTCTGGATCGGTCGGACGCTCTCTGGGTTTGTAAGAAAAGTAATTTACTCAGTAATTCATTCAGCAAAAGTCTGTTAATATTAAAGTAATAGCTTACATTTTCACCTCACCTGCTAAAAATCTGATAAATTAAATTTTAAAGCACAGAAATCACAGAAGGAGGACAGCTGCACCATGTTAACATGTTACTGAGAGACTTGTAAATTTGAAAAACACATTTAGAACCAAATAAAACACTTTATGATAATGTTTCCTGTTAATAATGTGCATAATGTTTTGTTAAATTATATCTGTTACAGATGAAAGCAGCTGTTTCAAACCTTTCGTGGACCTCTGGTGTCTTGGAGAAAACTTGCTGGTCACTGTTGAGGGAACATGTGCCTCCCTGATTAGACAGACCATCGTGAACTTTCGGTGGCCGAGTCACTAAAAAGAAAGAAAAACACAGACTCATTCTTGTTCTTTGTGCAGCAGATGCAGGTCCTGATGTCCAACATGAAATAAATTAGTGTCACGACTGAACAACTCATTCTAATAGATAGATATATACTTTATTTATCCCGAGGGAAATTCAAGTATCCAGTAGCATACAAAACATACATACATTAAACCTTTATTAAAATAGAATTAAAATTAAAATAACTTATAACACAGTAGCCACAGTAAAACAGTGCATAAACAGTAAGCAGAGCAAATGGAGTGAAGATGGAATGAAAAAGATGAGGGCTGAATTATTTCCCTTGATTCTGATCTGTCCCTTACCAACGTCACTGTGTCCCATCTCCCTCTTCTCTTCATCCTCGTCTTCTTCTTCTACCTCTGTGTGTTTCCCTCATCCTGCACCAGTTTGTTACTGCTTTCATCCTGTCGTTCAGCTGCATCATCTGTCTGACCTTCTGGATCGGTCGGACGCTCTCTGGGTTTGTAAGAAAAGTAATTTACTCAGTAATTCATTCAGCAAAAGTCTGTTAATATTAAAGTAATAGCTTACATTTTCACCTCACCTGCTAAAAATCTGATAAATTAAATTTAAAGCACAGAAATCACAGAAGGAGGACAGCTGCACCATGTTAACATGTTACTGATGGAGACTTGTAAATTTGAAAACACATTTAGAACCAAATAAAACACTTTATGATAATGTTTCCTGTTAATAATGTGCATAATGTTTTGTTAAATTATATCTGTTACAGATGAAAGCAGCTGTTTCAAACCTTTCGTGGACCTCTGGTGTCTTGGAGAAAACTTGCTGGTCACTGTTGAGGGAACATGTGCCTCCCTGATTAGACAGACCATCGTGAACTTTGTGGCCGAGTCACTAAAAAGAAAGAAAAACACAGACTCATTCTTGTTCTTTGTGCAGCAGATGCAGGTCCTGATGTCCAACATGAAATAAATTAGTGTCACGACTGAACAACTCATTCTAATAGATAGATATATACTTTATTTATCCCGAGGGAAATTCAAGTATCCAGTAGCATACAAAACATACATACATTAAACCTTTATTAAAATAGAATTAAAATTAAAATAACTTATAACACAGTAGCCACAGTAAAACAGTGCATAAACAGTAAGCAGAGCAAATGGAGTGAAGATGGAATGAAAAAGATGAGGGCTGAATTATTTTCCCTTGATTCTGATCTGTCCCTTACCAACGTCACTGTGTCCCATCTCCCTCTTCTCTTCATCCTCGTCTTCTTCTTCTACCTCTGTGTGTTTCCCTCATCCTGCACCAGTTTGTTACTGCTTTCATCCTGTCGTTCAGCTGCATCATCTGTCTGACCTTCTGGATCGGTCGGACGCTCTCTGGGTTTGTAAGAAAAGTAATTTACTCAGTAATTCATTCAGCAAAAGTCTGTTAATATTAAAGTAATAGCTTACATTTTCACCTCACCTGCTAAAAATCTGATAAATTAAATTTTAAAGCACAGAAATCACAGAAGGAGGACAGCTGCACCATGTTAACATGTTACTGATGGAGACTTGTAAATTTGAAAAACACATTTAGAACCAAATAAAACACTTTATGATAATGTTTCCTGTTAATAATGTGCATAATGTTTTGTTAAATTATATCTGTTACAGATGAAAGCAGCTGTTTCAAACCTTTCGTGGACCTCTGGTGTCTTGGAGAAAACTTGCTGGTCACTGTTGAGGGAACATGTGCCTCCCTGATTAGACAGACCATCGTGAACTTTCGGTGGCCGAGTCACTAAAAAGAAAGAAAAACACAGACTCATTCTTGTTCTTTGTGCAGCAGATGCAGGTCCTGATGTCCAACATGAAATAAATTAGTGTCACGACTGAACAACTCATTCTAATAGATAGATATATACTTTATTTATCCCGAGGGAAATTCAAGTATCCAGTAGCATACAAAACATACATACATTAAACCTTTATTAAAATAGAATTAAAATTAAAATAACTTATAACACAGTAGCCACAGTAAAACAGTGCATAAACAGTAAGCAGAGCAAATGGAGTGAAGATGGAATGAAAAAGATGAGGGCTGAATTACTTTCACTTGATTCTGATCTGTCCCTTACCAACGTCACTGTGTCCCATCTCCCTCTTCTCTTCATCCTCGTCTTCTTCTTCTACCTCTGTGTGTTTCCCCTCATCCTGCACCAGTTTGTTACTGCTTTCATCCTGTCGTTCAGCTGCATCATCTGTCTGACCTTCTGGATCGGTCGGACACTCTCTGGGTTTGTAAGAAAAGTAATTTACTCAGTAATTCATTCAGCAAAAGTCTGTTAATATTAAAGTAATAGCTTACATTTTCACCTCACCTGCTAAAAATCTGATAAATTAAATTTAAAGCACAGAAATCACAGAAGGAGGACAGCTGCACCATGTTAACATGTTACTGATAGAGACTTGTAAATTTGAAAAACACATTTAGAACCAAATAAAACACTTTATGATAATGTTTCCTGTTAATAATGTGCATAATGTTTTGTTAAATTATATCTGTTACAGATGAAAGCAGCTGTTTCAAACCTTTCGTGGACCTCTGGTGTCTTGGAGAAAACTTGCTGGTCACTGTTGAGGGAACATGTGCCTCCCTGATTAGACAGACCATCGTGAACTTTCTGTGGCCGAGTCACTAAAAAGAAAGAAAAACACAGACTCATTCTTGTTCTTTGTGCAGCAGATGCAGGTCCTGATGTCCAACATGAAATAAATTAGTGTCACGACTGAACAACTCATTCTAATAGATAGATATATACTTTATTTATCCCAGTTTGTTACTGCTTTCATCCTGTCCGGTCGGACGCTCTCTGGGTTTGTAAGAAAAGTAATTTACTCAGTAATTCATTCAGCAAAAGTCTGTTAAAATTAAAGTAATTGCTTACATTTTCACCTCACCTGCTAAAAATCAAATTTAACAACACAGAAATCACAGAAGGGCAGCACCTCTGCTGTTCAGCAGATGCAGCATCTGATTATAAAAAAAAATAATTTCCATTTTTCAGAGATTTAGAAACATACAACATTTAGTTGAATAAAATAATTGAAGGTTAAAATTGATAAATGATCACTGTAACTCTGCTTCTTTATGACCTGTTTGTTCCTCCTTTTCTGGCTTTGTGCTCTCATCTCGATGCCTTTCACTGGTTTGAAGAGGGACACGTTCTTCCTTCTCAGAAGTTTCTTCCAACTTGTTCATTTTTTCGTGTGTGATGCTGAAATGGAATGAGCTTTAATTGTCACACAGATGTCTTTGCATCTCTACTCATCATTTTACAGTTACACAGATTTTGCAATTTTTAAATTCTGTGTCCTGTTCCTTTTACTGGTATGTTGTCTTTACAGTGGTATCAATTTTATCCTTTATAAACGTTCTCTGTTTATTTCCCAGCAAAACAAACAAAAAGCACCTTAACAAGATTACTCAGATGACCAAACCAAATTTATTTTTTGTTCCCCCTAGTGGTGAATGATTGTATATCTTCAGGAGCAGGTTATCTAATCATTTTCAAAACCTAAAGTAAACTCTGCAGAAACTATGTTCACCAAAAAACAACATGGAGATGAAATATTTATGTGGTAACTTATTAAAATACAGCCACATGTTATTCCATAAATGCGAGTTAGAAATGAATGCATTGTGCTTCTGTCTTTGGAACTTTCACTTAACACGAGGGAAACACTAAATAAATACTGTACCTACATCGTTTTACATTAAGAGAATTGCAATCTGAATGGTTTACAACAGCCAATTTATTGCTTTTTTGTAGTATAAGACAACATTACAGATATATAGCGAGTTCTTACCGCGGTCAGTCGATCATGTCATAACATCAGTAAGGTGTGGTGGATGCTATAACTCTTACTTTCGTTTGTGTCACAGCTGACTGTCAGCTGTCTGCCTAGTGACAGGTTGATATTCGGAAAGTGCAGAATAGAAAGCAAAGGAAAGCTCCACCAACAAATTTGATTAGACCTAGAGAGCTTTTATCCACAAGTCTCACCATCTTAAAAATATTTTTAAAATTGATCTTAAAAGTCTTCAGTACAGTAGTGTATCATTCTTCCTTTTTTTTTAGCGAATCAAACTCCTCACTATCAGTGCTCCGAACACAGGCTCGTGCTCCTGTCAGTAAATTATGCACAGAAAATTATTGTCATTATGCAGTATGCCGGTAGAGGATAAAATGTGAAACCGAAAATATATCAAGAGGGACTTTCTGTAGCCCTTAGCTCAACTCACGTGAACTAACGTGCACATGCGGCCAAACCGAAAGCCAAAAACAAAGGCTAAACATCATAATCAATGCTCTTCTCTCTGTGGGAATCCCGGGGGAAATTATAAGCTTTCACAATGGGGCTTGTGGAAAATACCTGTGAGAACAGGCAGACTCTAACAAGTAAATTAAATGAATGTTGCCTGTTTTGAAAAGATAAATAAAAGGGCTTTCTAATCAATGCCTTTATGATGCACAGTCTGTCTCCTTTTCTGTTTATTTCACATTTGTCAAGTCACCTGTGCAGAAGGTCTGGGAGTCTCTTGTTGGATGTTTTAATCATTTTATTACTTTTAAATTGCAGACTATTGACTTAATTTTGCACAATTCTCATAACTTAGTGTTTTTCATTTTTGATTTTTAAAGTTAGTGTCATTGTTAGTGCATAACAATGCTCTTGTAAAATTCAACAGGTCCCTTTTTTATCTAGGCTACTTTACTAGCAGAGTTGATAAACAAAGTTTATCAGCCCGTGATTCTTACTGCTGAATGCTGAATCATTAATAGATAGCTGCAAGCGTGGGGCTGACTGTGAAAGTGTCAGGCATGTTTGTCTCATTATTATTAATAATTAATTGCAGCTGCGACCTAACCTTTCTTTTCTCCATGAGAGGGAAGAATTAGAAAGTTGCGTGATGCTGCGGGGAGCCCCCAGATGATAGTGCATGGAGCATGCGTAATATTTGTCCAACCAGAGGGAACGATCACGAACCGTTCACAGCGCGCTGATGTGACACCAAAATGTGTGACCTATCAGATTCTGTGACACACATGGCAAGTTAGCGCCAGAGGCTTTGTTGACGATGTGAAGCAGTTTCAATTTGGTTGGGTTTAGGCACCAAAAGTACTTGGTTATGGTTAGGAAAACATTGTTGTTTGGGTGTAGTCACAGAATCTGATAGGTCACACATTTTGGTGTTACACCTGTTGTGGGCTATAGCGACACAACCAGTACCGGAGAGGGAGTGGTTTGGCAGAGGGTACAGGGCCAGGGATCAGAGATCGCGGAGCCACCGGCCTCTGGCTGGATGAAGTCTGACGCTCCTGATTTTACGCACGGATCCACGATGATAGAGAAATATAGAAATGAATGGCAATAAAGCATGCTGTTAAAGCATGCAATATTAGAGACCCCCAAAATATTACAAATCATGCTTTAGGGGAGCTGATGGCTGCCCCGAAGTTTGCAAAGATCAGAAACGAAGTACAGAGTGATGTCTTTCTTTGTTTGAGCTTGTTTTGAATACAGGTGTTATTGGTCTTGTTGTGGTTTTGATGAGATTTTGCCGGTTTTGTCTTCATCAGGCCTCCGGACAGTCTCGGTACTGTATGAACTGTAGACGTGCTTTATCTCAGAGGAATCCAGAGTGGTCTCATCCTCCAGCGTCTTGACTCGGGAACACAATCCGCAAGTGATCATCTATAAGTAAAAACTGGAGTAAATGTTAGTCTTATAATAGTAGGCTATATATAGAGTCTTACACAATAGCCTTCAGGTTGAACCTTAAAATAAGTTTTTAATATATTATATAGTATATTTTACCTCATGGTCTGAGCTCCCATGGAAGCAGTAAAATCATGCATGTGTGGGTGTCACTAATTTATTTATCAACAGCCATTATTTTGAATCACAAATAATGTATTTTTCATTGTAATTAGTACCTAGGCTACTATTATTTACACCAAAAAGATCAACAGACTTAAATGAATATACTTTCCTAATTAACTACACTGCGCACCGCATGACAGGATGGCTGCACCTCTCCACCATCAGCCGCTACAGACAGACACTGAGATGAGAATGCCTTGCAGCGTGCACACAGTTTTGACCTAACAGGTTGAGGCCTGGTATTGTACTGTATTAGACTCTGTATTGACTGTAGCTCATTTGTTTATTATTGGCTTTTTGATGCATCCTCCAATTAGGCCTTGTATATGATAATATGCTTGCTGTGTGCTGGCAGCAAGCAATGCCTAAAATAATAACACTTTAATAAAGGGCAGAATTGCGTCTCTCCTTGAGCAATATGTGAGAGAGAGGGAAATGTTGAATCACGCAATAAGCAATGATTTCTCTCTGTGTGTCTCTCTCATTATTTATATATCTCCGGCTGTAACGTTAGTAGCCTGTATTGAGAAACTGAAACTTCAGGTAAGTATAGCTAGGCCTACATGATATCAATTGTTTTTTTTGTTTTCATAACTTGCATTACATGATGTGGGTGAACTAACAATCACATGACTAAATTTTAAGCCTCAGAGTGTTTAGTTTGAGTGAGTAGGCTACATATTACATTTAGTCAAGATGGGCAACAGCGTGACAAGTGAACAGAGCAACTCCACAAAACAGACAAGCAATATGACACAACAGGAGAAGTGTTATGACCCTCGAGAAAGAACACTTACATTTGTCAATGGCGACGATGACTTAGACTGTAAGTAGCCAAATGTCACATTAACAAGCCTTAGTCCTAAAATATAAACACCATGTGGCTATAATCTTCTGCTAAGTGCCTTATTTTGCCCCTCGTTTTTATCCTTGTTTTGGTGCGTTTCTCAGAGCATAGATGTCCTGTGGTCATGCTGTCACTCCTATGTCTCTCACCAACTGGTGTGGTAGGTTGGTGGACCAAGTACACTGTTTACTTCACATTCATCATCAACTTCAAAGATGTTTCAGTGAATAAACTTCACAGACAAATGCACAATGGCAGCCTGTGTAGTTAAATAGGAATTTTGTAGTTTTTTTAAATTGTTAACAGAAAATACATGTTACTATAGGCTATCTGACGGTAGAAACACACGTGTCATTTCAGTGAAATTTGAAATTGATGTTGGTTAATAGCAGTGAACCATAAGCGGCAGCAAACTGACAGAAGCTGAGGAATTTACTCAACATTTTTCACTCTTTGTTTTTCTTTTTACTATCTAAGGGTGAGTCAAGATTTGTGTGTGGCAAACCTGACTGTGACGTTGAGAGGCCATATGAGGAGGTTTGTAAAATGGCTCTTCTAACCAAAGAAGAAATGAAGTACTATGAAAAGAAAATATTCAGTAATGCTGCAAAGGACTTGGACATCAAATTTGTATTTCAATGAAAATATTTACACTATTTATACACTATGAAAAACTGTTGTCAATGAAAATTCAAGGGTGATTTTAAAAACCTCTCATTCTGTGTAACTTCACTCAACAGTGTCCTGGCTGCAAGTCTCGCATAGTGAGGGCTGATCTCAGTGATCTGTGTGTCGAGTGCACAACGTTCACAGCTGCCAAAAGAAGACCTTTCAGATTCTGCTGGCAGTGTTTGAGGGAATGGAAAGGTCCGGCTCCACGTTCAGACCGCTGTGAAAATGACGGCTGCATCAATGAGCCATTAGAAACACTGAGAAACTGTCCAGATATCGTCTTTGAGTCTGTGAAGGGCGTCACTGGCTGTCCCTGCATCCGTACCTGTCCCACCTGTGGTTTTCTGGTGGAGCATAACGGAACTCGATGTAAAAACATCTATTGCCCTCATTGTATGGTGCAGTTCTGCTTTGTGTGTCTGAAGATCACTGAAGAGTGCCTGAAGTCATCCTCATATCACAAGATTTGCTCCACTGGTGTTGCACCCAGACAGACCTCTATACCTGTGTGGAAGAGGACATAATTCTGTTAATTTAACACTGATGTCAAGAAATAAAAATACATCTTTATTTAAAAATGTTCTTTATAATGCCAGTCTTCATTACTGTTGCTACTGAGAGAGGAACTCAACCCTATACAAGCATGAAACATTTACATGGACTAGTTCCACTTTAAAATCAAAAGCATGGTTATTAACATGTTTTATGACATTTCAAGTAATTGAATCTCTGTTTATTCTGTTTTCGTGAAAATCATTTTGCTTGATTTTACTTTAGCATCTTTAATTTTGGGTGTAGTCATTTTGATCTCTGTATCTTTATTCAATCTGTTAATTTCACTTTTCATTCTCTTTTTGTTTTCAATCTCCATATAAGTAAATACTAAAATAAAATAATAAAATACAGTTAATAAATATATAGCCTACTATTGGTTTGAATAAATTATTTCTGTTTTCACAGTGATGCAGAGTACCAAAGTCCTAAACATCTCTGGTAGTGCTGCCTCTGTCTTGAGGTATAGGGGTTTTGAGTATCAGCCATGACGAACTGCTTTCCTTGGAGGTGGACAGCTTCAATGTACCACTTCATCAGAGGCATTAACAACCGCTGGCATCTCACAGGTGCTTTGCAGAGGTCATGTGAGCTCATCAAAGGGACAAGAGGCTTATGGTCTGTTTGCAAGCAGAACCTTTCCATGCCTTAGGCATCTCAAAACCGCTCACATTCCCAAACACTTGCAAGGCATTCTTTATTTAGTACATTTAGTTTATACAACACTGAGTCAGAATGTTTTATGGCAGTGTTTGCTACAGATCAGTGTGATTATCTGGGGCAGTGTGGATCCTGATCCTGAAGGGGCAACACTTCCTGTAAGACACCACGACTGCAGCCAGGAGACAAACAGCAGCAGTGATGCCGAGCGCTGTGGCTACAACAAGCTCTGTAGGAGGTCTGGAGGGCAACCAGGTCCCATTCTGGCCTGAAGTTAAAGTCTCGTTGGGATCGCTGAGCAAAAAGCAATAAGTAAGTTAGGATAAGTTACAGGTTATAATAAAGCAAGAGGATTCTGGTTTGAAGTCATACTCACCTTGTGATAGAAGAAGGAAATGTAGTGACTTCGTCTGAGGGCAGTGTAATGTCAGCGTACAGGCATAACCTTCTGTCAGGGCAAAAAACTAAACCCTGGTATCCTTTAATCTGAGGGTTAAAAACAGCAAAGACAGGATGGATAATATGATTACATTTCAGATAACTACGGGGATCTGTTTGTTGCTGCATGCAGCATTTTAAACATCAGTAATACACATTAATTGTGATATATGAGCAAAGTCCCTGTAAACAATTCTGAATAGTGGAGAAGTAAAGGTATTTGCTTGTAGCTTACAGTGTGTCAAATGTATTTTTATTGAACAGCTTCCTAATGTTGTACATTGTACACATTTCTTAATAAGATTAATACTAACTTGTATTAGCTTATACTAGAATTGGTAATGTGTCTTTCAAGAGACCTAAGGACACTTTACACTTCACATATACAAAAATGTACACAAAAAAGGTCAATTAAAGATTATAGGCATTGGTAAAGGCGGGGTTTTAGCATATTAATATTTTTATACTACATTATATCACTTGCATACTAAGCAATGGCTTATTATTGTACATTACTGCATATTATTTGTGATAGTATTCGCTAATTTCTATACTTTAATTTATATAGTATTGCATTACTTAGTTAGTATGTGTATATGACCTATACTGTACATATCATATGATACTAAGCTTTATTATATACTTATTGCTTTTATCTAGGCTATTACTAGATACACAATTCACTTTTATTGTATTGGGTATTGTAATGCATATATTATATTTAGCTTTATTAATGTCATCTCTCTAATTTCTAATTTATTCAAATATCTGTTTTCTTACCTCTGAGTCCATCTTGTGTGACTTTAACATGTGAATTTCCTGAATTTCCCCTTGGGGAAGTCTTATTATATGTTAAAAGGTACAGATGACACAGTGATTCAGTGTGTTGCTTCAGAAAAAAAACTCTATATTTATATATACTACTAAATACACATTTTCATGCAGTATCAATAGCACTCTAAACACATAATGCAATTTTTTTTCATCTTGTTTGTGCAATGCATTTGGTATGGTATTCCCACTAACCTCTGACATATAGCCTATAGCAATCGTCGCTTTGGATAAAAGCGTCAGCTAAATTACTAAATGTAAACTGTAGTTGTAGACCTTATCTCCCGTGATTTCTAAATCAGTCTCATGTTAACAAATTAGGCTACTTCGCAACGAAAGTCTAATGTGGCCTATGCAGGCCAACAGTAGTCTATGAGTTTTCAAAGTCTGAGACTGTGGGCCTCCCATCAGACAAAGCCTGGAAAAGGTGCCACCTCATCCGCCCTTAGTTTACATGCTTAGTTTTGCTTAATTCCTGGATGCCTGTGGGATTTTGATTATGTTATATGATCACATAGACACATGCATATGAGCTAAGATATTGCTGTTTGACATAACTTCACACTTTATCAAATACATAAAAAGGTATAAGTTGTGTCATGTTACCTGAATGGTCCCCCCTGCTGGACAGTCCACCCATTCAGAGCCAGACACCTGGATTTGGTATCTGTTTGGTCCAGTGCACCTTTGTCTATAACAACATCCCTGAACAGAGCTGCTGAATAAAATAAACTCCCTTTGGTTCTAAAGAAAAAAGAAGGAAGGAAAAAAGAAGAAATGAATGGTAAATAAAGAAAACAGTTGGTGATAAGACCATGTAGGCCACACACACCTGTCTAGTCAGGTTGGAAAAGAAGCAACGGCTGTCAAAGCCAAAAATTTCCCCACTCAGGTCCTCTTCAGTTGACTGACTGCCATTTTCCCCTTTCCAGCACTCACTCTGAAGGAGAGGAGGAGGACAAAGAGTGAAAATGTGGGACTGAAGAATCGGAAAATTGAAAATAGAAAAAGTAAAAGACTCACTCCATTCTTGAGAGGTTTATACACTCGACATCCCTCCAGGTATTGATCGGTCTGGCACTCCCCCTTGTGGAGGTGAAGATAATGACACCCAAATCCACTGAGAAGAAGGAATAATCAGTATCAGAATCCGCTTTATACGAGGAATTCGACTCAGGATTGTACATTGCTCACGATGTGCTTACTCATACAAAAATACCATAACCATAAAATAAAATCAGATACAAACTACAGTATAGACAACACTAACATACACACTATGAACAAAACAATATAGACATATTGACAAATAGTGCAGTGATCAGAGTGCAAAGGATGCAAGAATAAACTATTATTCTCATTATGTACATGTTGAAGGTGGATATGATATACAGGTACACATACATGCATACATGTACACATGTACACAGTGTGATGGAGCATAGTGCAAAGGATGCTGGAAAAAATAAATAAGACCTATGACCTTATGACCTGAGGTAGGTGTATTGGTATACAGTATATACAATATGACATAGTATGAACAGCACTGAAATAGAGAATGGTGAATAAATAAATAATAAGTGGAAACCAGTAAACAGGTGCTGGATTAGAGTTACTGGGTTATTGCACAGGAATTGTTCCTGACACCGTGAGTCAGAAATCAGCTGTTCATCAGAGTGATGGCTTGTGGGAAGAAACTGCTTCTGTGTCTGTTGGTTTTGGCGTACACTGCTCTGTAGTGCCTACCAGAGGGGAGGAGCTGGAACAGGTTGTGTCCGGGGTGAGATGGATCAGGTGGGCCAACACCAGTCTTTCAAAGGACTTCATGACTATAGATGTCAGGGCGACGGGCCTGTAGTCATTTAGTCCAGAGATGGAGGGCCTTCCTGATCTTCTGCCTTTGGAAGAGGTGGCTCACGTCCTCTTCACAGATCTTGAGTGCAGGTAAGAGGTCAGAGGGGGAAGGTGACTGTTTGAAGATGACGTTGGAGTGGGAGACAGGTGTGACTGTGGGTTTTTCAAACCTACAGTAGAAACCATTCAGCTCGTCTGCCAGTCATTGAGTACCAGCAGTGTTGGGGGAAGGTCTCTTATAGTTTGTGAGTGTCCGCAGGCTTCTCCACAACGACGCAGGGTCGTTGGCTGCAAAGCTGTTATTTAGCTTTTCAGCGTAGCACCTCTTTGCAGCTTTGACCTCTTTAGTCATTGTGTTCCTGGCCTGGTTGTACAAGACTCTGTCCCCACTTCTGAAGGTCTCCTCCTTGGTCTGACGAAGCTGCCTGAGTTTCGCTGTGAACCAGGGTTTTTGGTTGTTGTATGTGTGGAAGGTTTTAGTCAGCAAACACATGTCCTCACAAAAACTGATGTAAGATGTCACAGTGTCAGTTAGTACGTCCAAGTCAGTGGCTGCAGCCTCAAAAACACTCCAGTCAGTGCAGTCAAAGCAGGCCTGTAACTCCAGCTTTGACTCGTTGGTCCATCTTTTCACAGTCTTTACAACAGGTTTATCAGATTTCAGTTTTTGCCTTTGTGTCAGGATAAGATGAACCAGACAGTGATCAGAGAGTCCCAAGGCTGCATGGGGAACAGTGTGATAGGTGTAATGCCAACATTTGTGCTGGAAAGAAAAACAAATCATATTCCTACAAAAAAACATAAGCTGTTTTATGGAAAACAAATATGTAATTATAAGCCAGTTACCTGCCCGTGCAGAAAAAGGATGAGGAATTGTCCTGACAGGTTGAAAGGGAACCAAACATGGCTCCCTCACCTATAACAACACGGATTTATCATTCAATTGTACTGTATATTTATTTGTGTGTGTAAACAATCTTAAGACACACGCCAGGCTGTCTATTTTCCTGTTTGTAATGTTTTTGTAATTATGATAATGATCATGCAGATTTTACATGAATGTATATGTTTACATTTAATATCTACACACTTCATCTTCCCTTACCGTCTCCCCAGACTAGACTCTGTGCCCGGCTCAGGTCTACGGCATACCAGCCCGTATCCTGTAAGGCAGCCAAGGTGGCCGGGTCAATCCGGACTGTGGTCGAGTCCCCCAGCACAGCCGCCATGATGGAGCCCTGCAGGACCCGGGACTCCCAGTGTGAGGACACGCTGCCTGGAGGTACACCCTACAGAAACAAAGTGTTAGACATGTAAGAAGAGCAGATGATCAATCTGAAAACTTGGAGCTGCTCAGTACCAGATTCTCTAGCGGCCCCCCTAGCTCAGGGTCAGCGGACTCCAGGTGCTTCTGCAGGGCTGAGATGACAGACGGGGTGTAAATCCTCATCTGGCCTGATTCATCAGGGTGAGTCACTTTGCCTCGAGGAGAACAGCCAGCACCCACTGCAGCACGACTCAAAGAAAAACACATTAGAAGGAACATTTTCTTATCTTAGCTTAATACAAGAGCAATCAGCCTAAACGTTTGTGAAAACTTGTTGAATAATAATAATAATAATAATCATCAGGGGCCAAATTAAAATAGCTTCCGGGCTAAATCTGGCATATTTACATTGATGCTAGAAGAAATGTGCATTAATGTGCACTGTCCCTTTAACAATAAAAAATAAAATGAAATTTCTATCCAATATCTTGACTAAATTAAGCGAGGATGCTTTGAGTCCACTACATATCTTGCAGTATAAGAGTAAATGCATTGGTAAAATAACATTTTTATATTGTTACTTTTTGTTTTCCATTTGCAATTTTTCTGTCTTTCTTACTTTTGCTTCCTCATCCAGGCCTCCGATGTTGCAAAAAAGATTCTTGACCTCAAAGTATAATTCAACTGTGCAATTTAAGAAGGATTAATGTTGAGTAAGTGCGCATATGTAAATGAGTGAATCAAGTAATCGTTGTATCTTTTTTCTTATTTTATTTTATCCCACAGGTAGATTTAGCGCCAGGAATCATTTCATACATCATTTCCATTTCGCTACGTTACACTAAACACAACAAATGATGCAATTACACACTAATCTATAATAATGTAATACCACTTAATGTGTTATAGTTTGATACAGTGAGATAAAAATATGAAATCGTGTTCAAAAACCTTGAGAAGTGGACGAACAGTCTCTCCAGGTGTGGAAAAGATCTTTGGAGAAACCAAGTGCATGAAACAGCTCATGGATCACAGTCTGGAAAACAGATGAGCATACACACTCATTGTGTGTGTGTGTGTGTTATTGTGTAATGAAAAGCAACAGAGCAAAAAAATAAAAAATTTCCCAGGGATTAATAAAGAACTGGAGTGAGTCTTCTTCCATCCTTCTTATCCTGCTGCTGCTTGTCACATTTTATTATGTTTTATAAAACTGCCTGCGATTAAACATTTCCAGAAGTATTCCTATTGATATTATTATTATTAATCGTACCTGTACAGTAGTCTGGTGGCTGTATGCGGCTCCTGTCAGTCTGTCCCTGCAGATGATCACCACCCCAGCCACAGGTCGTCCACGGGCGTCTGCCTGGCAGTGGACAGCGTAGGCCAACACGTTAGGCTGGGTGAACAGAACATAAGGAGGAGGGCAATACGAGGAAAGTAACAGCGTGTACATAGTGTGACATCTGTAAATGAAATAAAAAATGTATGTATTTAAACAGCATATTTTATTTTAAATATAAAAAATATATGTTTTTTTACTTGTTACTCATTGCTGTTGTAATACTCTGATGTTGGGAAATGTTATCCACAGCACTGGCATTTTGTGTTTTCACATAGCTAAAAACAATTGTGTCTGTTGCTGCTCTTTTGTAAGCACATTTTAAGAAAATAGAGCTTAGAAAAGCTTAAACCTAATAAAACTAAAAGAGAAATGCTGTTACAATGCCATCTTAATGTTTGAAAAAGAAACTTTGGGATTTCAAGGGAGGGAAAATCAAAGCTGTGAGTGTTTAAGATGTGAAGAAAAAGACAATAAAAACATCTTGTGGTAGTAGTGGTTTATTATTCTGAAAGGTCAAAACACAGTAAAACCAGTCAATTACTGTGTTATTTCAGTCTTCTGTTTTATTGTAACTATTTACTTTAAACCATTTCTCAGATATGTTTTAGCACAAAGATCTTTATGTTATCAGTGGATCTTTACCTCAGTTCGGCACTTGTCAGTGGCCTGCACGTGGAGATACAGCAGGAAGTCTGTGTCGGGGAGTCCAGCACCTTCAGGACGGAGAACAGCCCTGCGAGGTGAATCAGCCTCCGGGTAAATATCACATCCGGCCAGATGATCATCTGGGATCTGTTGACAACAAGGATAACAATGCTTGACATATTTGGTCCTGGATTTTAACTAGTTTCTGTGTACAGGTCCACACAAAGCTTCCCACAGGAATACACTCGGCTTATACTCACCGTCACATCCAGGCAGGTCTCAGATCTGTATCTGATGTTGGCTCGACCACACCTGAAGGAAGAAAACGGTAACTTTTAACATGCTTTTTCATAACATTGCTGCTGTATTTAATGGAGCCCAGTCAAAGGGTAAAGATTGTTTATCAAATACAAAACTACTATGTATTCTAAACATTACATTGCTGATATTTGTACTTTCATTTTACCTTGTTTTCAAATCCAACAAAGTTTGATTGTTTATCAACTCTAAAACACCATGTTTGCCATAAAAGTTCCCACCTCTAATTCTGGTAATTTTTGTGTTTTAACATGAAGTTTACATAATTCTCTATTTCAGTCCCTTTGGATAAACTGAACTAACAGGAAACTATTTTGTCATGAATCTAAAACACACAAACTTGGTTTAAGTGATTATTTTTAACAAAGGTTTTTTTGAAGATAAAGCAGATCCACATCTGGAGGATGCCAAATGAGCTCGATTGAAGGACTGGAGCTACATAAACACATAAACACACACACACACCTGTTGTAGTTGGCAGTGCTTGAATTCCTCCAGAGAAACTTGCAGTATTTGTTGATGTCTCTAGTGAGCCGCAACGGACCCGGTACTCTGTTCACTAATGAAAGGTCAACAGTTCATGATAGTACACATTAATCTGTGTATGATTGTGTGCTTGCGCGGTCTGTTTCTCACCTGACAGTAAAGAAGACACCATCCTCACAGCCTCTGCCACTGCTGCCTCCAGCCTTTCTTTCTCAGCCTCCGCTAGGTTGTTGCTCTCTTTTGGAATCCAGGTCCGAATCCTGATCGGCTGTGGAGAGACAGGAGTGGGCAGGGCTCTCTTTCTCAGGCTCTTCCTCTGTTCCACTGACAGGCCAGGCAGAGGTGATGCCCTCCGTCCTGGATGATTGGTCTGTTGGCCGGCCTGGGCTCTGAGTCTGAGCTCGTTGGGTGGACTGTCTGGGTGGACGGGTCCAGCTCGTACCACCCTGGCCTGGGCCTGAACCTCATCGAAGATGCACTTCTGCAGGGCTCCGGATAGCTCCACCACCCCAACCACCATTGCAGCCAGCACCCAGAGTCTCTGGGATGGAGATAAAACCATAATTAAAGCTGGACCCTGTTTCAGGGTCACAGCGAGGATGATGATTAGTTGTTGGACATTGTGGCTGAGGAGCTTTGCTTGTCGGTCAAACTGACCTGTGTGACACTGATTCTAAACTAAAACAGCCTATAAAGCAGGAACTGACACACATTACAGTGAATTATATTAAAGGTTCTAACAATGCAAAACATTTTTATAAAAAAAGTCAACTTTATCCTCTGTGCCACTTAATACTGCATTTTATTTTCTAACATAGCTACTGTTTAGCACACTGAGGTCACTTTCTGAGTTTAAGTGACCTGGCATAACGTATAATTGTATAACAAGAAAATATTGTGTGCTTTATATATTTAAATGTTACTTATTTTAGGGTCAACACATAAATAAAGTGTTTCCCCACCATATCTGCATTCCTGGAAGTATAGAGAAATTATAGAGCAATTTAAGCATGGCACAGAGGATAGAAATCATGTGAAAACATAGTTTGTTACTTTCAATAAGCAAAAATGTAACTGTATGGTTTACTTTTCAGAGCCAGTGAGGTCACTTTTAAGGTGGTTGTAATGTCCTGGACCACGCTTTTCACACATATGAAAATATGTCAATAAACACAAGGCTTTTCGATTATCTCCCAGACAAATCAATGGTTATTATGGGAAAACTTTGTTTCCCTTTGAACAGCTCTGCTGTTAGAAATAAGGTCATGCATCTGCTGTAGCAGCTGTTAAATAGAACAGATATCAGCTCCAACAACTACTTTCCTGCAGCATTAATCTATCAGTTAAATCAAATGTATTCATAGTAATTAATTACCTTGTAGGCAAATGTGACCTCAGTCCATCCATGTAGTCTTAACCCTCATGGCAATGCAGAGCGGAGTGATGATCTGAACATCCAGAACAACCAGTGAAGAGTTAAAGAGTCTGAATTTCCATAAGACTTTTGAATACAAAGCACAATGCAATGACAGTGAGGTGTCAGGTGCCACCAAACCCCCAACACACAAAACACACAGTGACCAACAGCTAAAAGTGCAAATTGTTTAATCTCAGCAACATTTTTACTTATATACAGTGAAGTTGACCCTAGCAATCCATAAAATCACTTTCTCTCTTATTTACCTCAATACATTTCAAAATTAAAACTTCTAGCTACTCCATGTCGACTGTAATACATTCAACAAAGCAAAACAGAACTTAAGAAAAAAAAAAGAAAAGCAACTTGCTGAAATAAAAACAACATAAAATGTACAATAATACAAAGAGCACACCACAAGTCTGTTGTGTCAAACTATGACTGATCGCGATCGATTCCCCTCAAGGGTTGAAGATTCAAGTTGAGGGTATTTTGTGAATTCAGGGCACCGTGCATCACTGGGGCGCCTCATCGTGCTGTGCACACCACACACACACCCACCCACCTTAAAATCAGGCACCAAAGAGATTGTCTTTTGACACATTTACTTTTCAGATTACTTACATTCACTTTGGAAGAGGAGAAGTGTGTGTGTGCGCGCGCACACACGCTCATTACACAGTTTTGTTGCAATGTGCACTAAAACAGGGGCCCAAAAAAGTTATTGCCAGCTTGCAGAGTAGACATGCATTTTTGTTCATGTTCATAATAAAGCCACTGATGTGTCAACGCGTGCTATGATGTGAGAAAACATGTGCCTCCGTGTGTTTTGGTGTGCAGTGTGTATCTCAGGAACCTTCGTAATCTCCACGAGCCATCTACAGGAAACTCCTCAAAAGGCACTTAAATAGGGGACTTTTTTTTCTTTAACTGTGATATAACATGAGACTGGATGCAAGTGGCAGAATGTGGAGACAATCCACATCCACAAACATACTCCACTGTCTATGTAAGACTAAAATGCAAATGCATTCACACAGTTGCAGTCATACAAACATTATCCATCATGTTATTTAAAAACTCTGATCATTCAATCTGACAGCAACCAGCCTCAGTTTCTGGATAGGGAAGATTCTTCTGTGCAAAAGTTTACCTTCAATGTGCAGCCTGGCATTCATTAAATGCACATCCAATTCTCGTCTACACTTACTCTCAAACATACATCAGCCGTGCTTTTCGTCTAAAACCTTTGCAAGGAGGTCTTAAAAAGAAAAGTCAAATACTTGATTCCATAAGTCAACAAATCCATCTCAAAACAATTTTCAAAAAAAAGGCACCAGACTTGCACAGTGAGTCTCGCCGTGGACCGCTTCTGTGCTCAAGTTCAAACAAACATGGAAAGACTGGGTTTCAGTTATTATCAATGAGTGAAGGAGATAAAGGAGGGGCGGGGTGTACTGGGCACGTGAGGAAGTCATTCAGGTGAGCATGGGCACGTCGTCCTCTGAAGTGGTGTCTTCAGACAGGGGGATAAGAAGCACCTCGTCATCTGAGGAGGACGAGGAGAAGGAAGGGGAGGCGGAGAGGGGCATGGAGTTGGTGGAGGAAGAGGGCGAGGCTCTGAAGAGAGAGATGCTCAGGCCCAGCGTGTGCAAGATGGAGGACAGAGAGGGGCTGCTCGGGGGGACGGTGACAGGGGGAGTCTGGGGAGTGACCGAGGGAGGAGCTGGGGGAGCGTACGGAGGTGGGGGTGGGGAAGCGGCAGGAGGCGGCAGTAAAGGAGGTGGTGCTTCCTGCTGCTGTTGCTGCTGCGGCTCAGACTGAGCCAACAAACCAAGTTTCTGAGGCACCGGCTGGTTGACCGCCTCCACAGCTGACGAGGAGCTCGTGGCAGAGGAGTTAGCTGGTTCCTGACCGGAAGGTGCGGCGTCCGACTGCTGCTGGCCGGAGGTTGAGGCCTGACTCGGCCTGGAGGGAGGTCTGGGGATTAGACCCCACCTCCTCATGCGGCGAACGGCCCGGCGGATGAATCGGGGCCTGCGTCTGCGGTGCGGGGAGTTGGCGGCGTCCTGACGGAGGAGCTGCAGGATTCCCCTTAGAGAAAGAGATGACGTCTGACAAGGAGGAGGACGAAGAGAAAGGGAGAGTTAAACACTTTCTAAAACTCCAAACTCTAAAAGTACTAAGTGGTATTACATCATTTCCAAAGTTTGGGGACAGAGTAGGCAGCTTGGCCAGATCCCATCAGACAGATGGGATTTGTTTTAGACACTTAATCCCTCCGCCTCCACTACCTCAGCTGTCCTCACCAACTATTAATAAAGCACCTTGGTGTGAACCTGCATGGTAACAGCACATTAGCTCTATCTTGACACTCTACCTACTTCAGCCCACATGGCCTGCTGGGGATTAAAACGGCTGCTGTGGAGCACATGATAAACAAGGACTACTAGAGACTACAGTGCACTCATGTGGCTGAAGAGTTGAGGGATGAGCAACTCAGCAACATGACTTCTTTTCCCTTGAATGAATAGATTGTCAATGATCCCCAAAATGTAGTTTTTAAGACATCAGGTATTTATACTCCCTGATTTCTTTCAAACTTTAAAGCATGTAAATATGATGTTAATGTCAGGCAGAGGTGTTTGGCATTACTGTGGATTTAGGTTAAGGGTTTGATCCCACTTTAGAATGATGTCACAGGACTATCCTGCATCAGGGTTAAAAACTGGACTCAAGATAAAAGATAAGACTGAGGGTCAGCTTGGACGTAAGCTATTTAATATATTAGAATCAATATGAGGCCAAGATTTAAGATAGAAATATGAAAACAAAACTAGGAGCCAATGCAAAAAATAAGCCCAAAATGTTGTGGTTTCTAGATCTTGTGTTGCTCTTTTTTTCCACTCACCTCATTGGGGTTTTCAGTGGGGAAGTCCTCCACTGGGGGGATGATGCCCTGAGCAATCAGCTGACCGTAGGATGGAGGAGCCTGCTGCTGGATCAGCTCTGCTTCCTGGCGGCTGATTGGCGCAAACAAGCTGCAGGAAAATAGACACATTTAGATACAGACACACACACACACGTGTTCGTTCCTTTATCCCTGTGGGGACATCTTATTGACATAATGCATTCCCTAGCCTCTTACCTTAACCATCACAAGTACATGCCTAACCTTAATCCTTACCCTGACGGTAGCCTGAATAGTTAGTTATGATAGTTAATGTCCACTTCATGAAGATGATGTACATAGTGTAGAAGAGTACACACGACATAACACACTTTGGCTGAGACTAACTGCATGTGGGAAGCTTTACAACAACAACCTGGTACTCCTCGTTTCTCTTATCACAAAGAGCGGAGTACGCAGTGTACTGGCTGTGATGTGAGAGCTGCTGTCTGGTAGTGCTGGCAACAACTGAAGCGAATAGTAAGGAAAACAAACTTGTGACTCACTATCTCAGATCAGCACAAGATCTGGCTGAGGAATCACAAGAAAACACTATTATGCTGCATCGAAGGAGAAAAACAGATATTCCAAAAAGGCTATTGTCTGGAAAGAAAACGTGTTTTGGTTACAGAATATAAAACTGTAGAAACTAAGAACTGGTTTTAAATTATCAGTGCTGAATTGATGAATCACTTTCTTATGACTGAGATAAATTGTAAAAAGCAGTTACCTGTACTCCCTGGTCCTGAGTGAGTACAGTTTACAGGTGCAGCCCATGGCGATAACCAGCAGAAGCCCGCATACCAGGCTGCCAACTGTTGCCGCGGTGATGACCTTGCGGGGCAGGATGACGGTGCAGTTGAGCTCGTCTGTTCCGTCCTTGCAGTCCACCTGGCCGTCACAGCGCCAGCTCTCAAACACACACCTGCAGACGGGACAATGGGCCGTTTGTGTGTTGGCGTGTCCAGGAATAACTCCAGTGAGAGATTCAGTTTCACATGAATGTTTGAAGCTGAGGCATGCGTTACGAAGCATTATAATGCAGAAAAGAAGACTGTAAAGCAGCCTTATACTTTAATAGTATTAGTCTGTGTGAAAAGAAGTTATGAATCATTTTATAAGCTAATGAAACTGGATGTTGTATCCAATACATGCAGTAAATCAAACAGGTAACCATGGAGTTTATTCAAATATTGTTAAACAATGCAGGGCTGTTGCTCATGAGCTGAGATTATATCTTTAATCGTTTAAGTTCTGCTTTTTGGGTTTCCTCCACGAGCAAATAATACAGTGAAAAGGGAAACATCAGGCACAGTCTCTCTGAATGCTGAGTACATGTTTAAGTACAGATTGTTTTTAATCATTACACCCTGAGATAATGTACATTTTACTAAAATGCATCACAACTACACACAGTTCAGGTTCTATTTTAAGTCTCAGGTGGTCACGTTTTTTGCACACACTGTCTGACTCACACACACTTGCGTTATAACCAAGACACACCTAGCTCTGATACTTAACCTGACCACAATGAAGACACAGACCAATATAGCTCATCCGGCATAACAATCGCTATAAAAACAAAACTTTAGAAGCTGAACAGCTACTAAATGGACCATGAGCAGAGACTGTTTTGTCACCTTTTGAACATCGACTTTTAGGTTAAAATGAATGAGTTCTTGATGTACGCAGAATTATTTCAAAGTTTTAACACCTACTGCTCCATAACAACACTAATTCCTAATGCAACAGCACTGAAACCTGAGCACAACAATGAGACGACTGTCCTCTCTGAGCCTGGAGGGAAAAGGTTTTCAGTCTGAAACTCTGACATGCACTGACCTGTCGCTGTCACAATGAAAGGTCCCCGGTTGGCACATGGTGCAGTCCCTCTCGTCGCTGCCATCAGCACAGTACAGCTGGTAGTTACATCTCTCTGCGACGGGGTAGCACACCGGCCTGCCAGCGAAGTGACTGGATGCCACGGCCCTCTGTCCCGCCATTCCACAGGCAAACTGGTTCTGACCGCAACCCCGGCAACCCTCCTCGTCCTTTCCCGTCTCAGGACAGTCCCATTTCCCATCGCAGCGTTGCCCCTGGGTGAAGCAACCTCCTGCTGCTCCCCCGCACCGGCCCTCCCAAGGGGGGCAGTAGGTCCCAACATGGAACGTGGCGTTGAAGCCGCTCCCCTCCGAGCCAGGAAGAGTCTCATACGTCAGCGACAGCAGGCCGGTGTGGGATTCAACTTGGACTGATTTATAATTGGAGGAGCTGGTGATCTGTCAAGAAGCAGAAAGGGAACATCACGTTACCAAAAGGTTTTTTTGAATTCTTTGTTATTAAAGAGTGATCATGTAGGACCTAATGAGTGTTTGGTTTGGTGTCCTAGTTAAAGAAACTCACAATTTTAATAACGTCTCCTTTGCCTTGCTCTCTGTTGGACACAGAGAGTCTGTCCCCGGGCCCCAGCACCAGCTGTTGCAGGTCCAGTCTTAGCGGCCTTGAGTCCTGAGGGTCCAAAGTCCAGACACAGTACAACGCGTGGCCCCGAATGGCTGGAGGGGAGAAAGTGCCGTAAAATGTCTGGAGGAGCCCCCCACAGGGCCACTCAATGGGGGTGGGAGTCACAACCAGCTCCCTATGTGTCTGAGGAGGCTGCTCTTGATCCACCTGGCCATTCTCCTCCAGCCGATCCTTCAGCAGCGCCCACACATCAGACTCTGTATCCCTCTCGGGTGTTTTATCTACAGCTGTACGTCTCTTCAAGTCCATATCTTGGTTATTCTCTGTGAAAGTCTCTCCTTGGGACTCTTCTGCCTGTGTGCTGCCGTACTTTGGGGGTTCGGGGGTCTCCAATTCTGCATCACAGCCCTGTTCATCTGACCCGAGGCCAGCTCCTTCACCGAGACACTCCACCTGGCCATTACAGCGCCAGGACAAAGGAAGGCAGCGGCCCCCCAGACACTCAAAGGATGTTACCGGGCATTCACCAGAGTCTGGATCTGTAGAAACAGATACGTAATGAAAGACATAAAGATAATCTTTTGACAAGAAGAACTTGGGGACAGCACAAAACACCATGCTACCATACCTCTTGCGTAGTTCAATAGAAACGATGACACAGGAAACAGATGCGGGAGGAAGTGGTGCATCACTGTAATATTTCCCCCTGGGAACTCCATTGGTTGCGGCAACTTGGAGCCACAAAGGACAACAGGCTCGCCGCCAGCTGAAGATTTTATAGATACCCATTCCTTCCTACACCGAGCTGAAAACTGGGAAAAGCTGAGAAAGGATTTGGAGAAAAATCAGTGAATACACTTACATGAAAACACAAAGAGAAAACAGCATTTTTGAGACAAAGGTAATGCAATATAAAGTGTTATCTGTCAGAAATGTTTCCATCTACACCATAAAGTTATCCCTTTAAAACCTCTGGGTGTACGGGGACATTATTATCATCATCAATGAGCAGGACGGCTTTACGGCAATATTGGATGTTTATATGATTTTGGCATCAATGTGAAGTTTCTTGATCTGCGAGGTATTTAACTTGCTGGATTAGTCAAAAACAAACCTTCCCGTCTGATTATTTTACCCATAAACAGTTTCTCAATTGGTTTTAACCCACACAGCCAACTCCTAAACCATTCATAACATTACACCATCACAAGTAATTTGCACAGTTTGTCTCATCATAACGTTTACATGATATTCAGTCATCTGATTAACAGCAAATGATGGTATATTATGATGATATATAATAATTATATCTCAGCTCTTCAAAGGCCTCAAAAACAAGGCCCATTGTATCTGGTGTTTTCACATTCACTCAGAGTCTTTACCTGAGAACGACAGGTTCTCCTTCTGAACCATTGATGACCCAGCAGTCATAGACAGAGCCAAAGCGGTAGGACCAGCTGCGGTAAGCAGAACTCCTGATCTCTCCCACTTTACTGTTTAGGACTTGGGGGGAATGCCCACAGCGGGCTGAGAAACAGAAGGACAAAGGAGCAGCTTAAGAAGTCAGTTCCTGTTTGTTTTTTTTAAGAGTGTTAGTGTACGGTGTTAACCCTGTTTTGCTTAAACCTTAATTTCATTACACCAATTTAGCTCAATGTTATCACGTTACAGTTGAAAACAAGTGAAACAAAAACAAAAGTGAAAGTACTTCTAAACATGATCTGCTCAGGCCGATATCTGCTGTTATTGTCACTATGGCACGTCGTAGGTTAGAGAAATGTATGAAACCAGAATGTGACACTAAAAAACTGTTTTGTGGAATGCACAGTCACAACATGAGATAAAGTGCTGAGTAGTTTGTCTCCTTACCAGCGCCGCGGGCAGGCTCAAAATGGATGCACGCTGCAGGTGATAATTTGCAAAAACAGAACAAGTTAGGCATGTGTTTTATTACCATGACTGACAGAGATCATACAGAGAACAGCAAACATGACCTTTGCCTGTTAAACATTTAAAAATATCTATGATAGACAGTAAAACACACGGATAAATGTCTATTCACTCACCTGCTATGGTGAAAACTAGGAGGGCACAAAGGTTGAACGTGACGGTCATTGTGGTAACGCTTCTCCTCTAAAATGTATAAAAATAACTGAAGACTTAAAAAGCAAAAACAACGTCAGAGAAGCGTCATTTTAGGAGATTTTGTTCAGGAAGACTTCACCTGCAAAGTGAAAGATGAGAAAATAGATCAGATGTGTGTTAGATCTATGATAACAAATCATTTTTAAAAATGTGATTATTTGCTGGGTTTCTTCTTTGACACTAAAATAAATACATTTGTGTTTTGAACCGTCGGTCAGATGAAACAAGCCATTTAGGAAAAAGTGAACTCCATCTGCGGCAGCTTGTGACAGGCATATTTAACTTTTTAAATGCTTTACTTTGTAGAACCAACAATTAGAAAATAAATCAGCAGATAAAACTCTTAATGAAAATAGTAGTTAGCAGATGTTTATTTCAACTGTGAGACCTAAAATACAGAATCAAACATTTGTTATTGAATCAGTTTCTTATCTTCTTCCATCTTCAGTCACATAAGTTACCTCGACTCCTAATTCATTTAGTAAACTTCCTATTTGTGTGGCACTTTGTTTCAGCCAACCTCTGGTTTATCTGCTCCTAATTTAAACATTTCAAAATTATATTTGTCAGATTGATGAGTAACACAAACCGGAGGGATTTCACTCCGGAGTCCAAAAACAGTGAGCTATGATGATCTATCCAGCAGTATCCGTAATACATTCATTTTTGTTTTATATCTGGGGAGGGAAACAATACATGGGTCCCCTGAAGTTGACGTTAACTTGAACACTGTGTTTACTCACATACACGCAGCGACTTCCTTCCCATAATCTTCTTAACAATGACGCCAGGAAAGCCAATATTTCCGAGATCAATCCTCGCCAAACAAATAGTTTATAAGTCTTTCTCTCATTCCCAGTAAAGTAAAAGCATTTGGGTTCTCGAGTTCTAGTCGATTAGCATCTTATGTTGTCGCCTAAAAGTTTCTATAATGTTCTGAGATCCGGTTTCAAGATAGTTTCGGTATAAAGGAGGAGAAGGAGGGAGCAGCTGCTTCTGTCTCAAGCGCTTTAATCGCTAGCTAGCTTCCTGACGAGCTAACTGCTAACGCTAACATCCTCACTTCTGTCTGTCGTTCAGACGCTTTTTCTAGGCGGCGACATCACGACAAAAGGTTTCCGAGCACGACGCTGGGTTTTTCATTACCCAATGACATCACAACATGTAGGTTAGGAGCGGTAACAACACACCAAAATGATTCTGAAAAAGGACAAGAGCCGAGTACGTTACCATGTCAGTCGGCCTTTCTTGTTGACAGGTTCTGGCCCACTTCCGTATATTTTAGCTCATGACGAAAGGGGGCGGGGCTTAATGTTTCTCCTCCATTCATAAAACTTTACATTACGTTTAAAACCACATTCAGTGCTTTACACTGAGTCAGAGACTTATGGACTATACTGTAGAATATGTTGATATGTATTCCTATACGGTAGCTACTGTGTAAACGAAGTTAGGGTTAAATGTTGCTTTGTTAACACAAGGTGGCAGTATCGGTTAGCACAAATCTACAACATCAGTTTCACATTCACAGGGCTCAGGGCTCCTTAAAAATCTAAAGTAAGGAAGTACATTTACTCAAGTGCTGAGCTTATTTATTTTCAGTACAGTATTTTAATTTTATGCCGCTTTATACTCCTGCTCCAATACATTTTAGCATTGGAAGAAAAAGTATTCAGAGATGTGCCTATAGTATTTTTACACTTACTTTTTACTTTTATACTTTTTATACAAATATATTTTTGAGCTACTTGTACTCTCCTTGGTTATCAACATTTTATGCCACTTTATACTTCTACTACACGAATCAGGGGCTAATATTGTACTTTTTACTCCACTTTTTACTCCACCAGATTCAGATGCATAATACAAAATATAATCAACAACTAAATTATGCAAATCATTATTAAATGTATTATGAAAGGTGAAGATAAGACTGTGTTGATCCGTGGGGGGTTCAGAATCTACAAAGCAAATAGGCATAGCCTATATAAACTAATTAAAATTAGTCTGACATTTACTGGCTGCAATATTAAAGTGAAAAGGCAAATTAAGGCATCAATAATTATTATTCAGATTATTATCCAACAATATAATATATTTTATTCTGAAATGGACCGTTCTGCATAAAGAGTAGGCCTTCTTTTACTTTTGGTAGGCCTATTTTAAGCATATTTTAATGCAAATAGCCTACTTTTGTACTTTTATATACTTTACTTGAATATATACATATATATAGCCGACTTTGTTTTGAATGCAGGGCTTTTACTTGTAGAGTATACAATCGGTATTGATAAACCTGGTCAGCTGTCAGGCATAAAAAAAAATGACGTCTGCACATCTGGAGGAGGACCCAAAGGAAAATCCATCTCTCTCTCTCTCCCTCTCTCCTTTCCGACCACGTCCACACGCGCTACAGAAGACAATCCTATCAGAGGAAACTATGAAGTTTTAGTTAACACCAGCTGAGCATTTGTCACTGCCGCCTGATGATTTTGGCATTTTGTTTGGTGTTTTCAACTCGGCTCTGACTTTTGAAGGAGTCGCTTTGGTGCAGAGAAGCTGTCCGCTCAAAGTGTCCGAGAAAAAAAAAGTTCTCTGCCACATTTTTAAAGCATAACGGAGTAGCATTGATAGATTTTCTTTAGATTGTTTGTTTTTTGTCTTTTACTGTCAGGACGGCGGGACTTGTGTAGAAAGTTAGTTTCCTGAGCTTTTTTGTGGGGGCAGTTTGCAGATAGAAGAATGCTGCCCCAGCTCTTCACCCTGGCCTGTTGTCTCTGCTGCTTTGGTTTTACCTCAGTCACTGCAAATGTACTAAAAGCAGAGGTAAGTCTGATGGGAAATCAGTATTCTTTAACTTTAAACAATGCAAAGTGATAAATACAGGGGTTTAATGTGTGTCATACAAGCTGTTAAGTGTAATCAATTTGAAATTAGCATTTTTCTATCTTTCAATTGTTTTTTAGTGGTTTGTGATTACAATTTTCTACAATATCCCTGAAGCATATATATTACAGCGTTCTGCAGCTAAATATGACAGTAATCTCATACTTTATTGTATTTTTAACCTCTTATTGTATCACTGCAGATAACTATAGTTTTATTGATATCTGTAGTGTGTTTTTAATGTTGCAACAGAAAGAGAAGAACTGCTTACACGCACTTCATATTTATTCTCCCTCCCTCAAACACTCGTGACCTTTGTCTTTCTGTACCAAGAACTGACTCAATCTGACTAGAAACTGTAACAAGAGATGAAACTTCATCCAGAGAAAAAAATGGCATAAGTCTAAACTTGTGGCTTGTGAAGGAGGAGGTCCAGCCAAGCACTGCACAGTTTAGAAACCTCAGATGAGCTGCTTTGTTCTGGTGGTACGGGGGAGGGGGTTAATGGTTTGCATCTGCAAAAGCTGGACATGAGGTGCTGCATCTGGGAGACTTCGGGCTGTGAAACTCCTGCCTGGAGACATTAAAGTTCAACTAAACAACATATTTTGTCCTCAGGCCGTGCAGCTTTGTAAATGATTGGGAACGGGCACCCTGGGCGCCTCCGGTCTGAGCCCATTTTACATTTGCTCTGTAGGTAGCTCCAGTGTTTGAGCATATACGGCACCACGTCAGTGTTCAGTCACATCCAGTCATACTATCAGGAACTGCATATAAGGTGATTCTCTGACAGGATGCACCTCTAACAGCCAGATGTCACAGAAAAGTCCATCAGCTGTAATAGCGTTACTTAAGATATCAAAGGGCCTGTGCTAGTTCTGGTGGACAGGATGCAGGAAGAAGCAAAGGAGGACTTTAGTCACTGACCACAAGTCGCTGGCGTGTGAGTCAAGCCAGACTTGGTGGATAACCCAGACAGTTTATAAGACACCACAGGCAGCTGCCCTCCTGTGGTGAACACACAGAAACAGTGATGAATGTCTGTAAACAAAGTGAGACAACACGGCTGTTTACAGCTGCAAGATGATACCTCTAACATAAATCACCTCAGTGGAGAGTGAATGTCTCGTGTTTTGCACGGTGCTGGGATGCTGTCAGACATAGCAGTCAGTCAGTCCTGATGCAGAAAGAGGCTAAAAGTTGATTATGGTTTCAGGGTTACATCACCTGAGAGCTGAACCCTGTGATCAAAAGATAGACATGTCTGTGTGTGGAGAAAGCAGACTGAACTGAAACAGCAAAAGAAAGGAGGAACAAAGATGAAATAGCCTCCAAATTACATAAATGTTTAATTAAAGTCAATGAAGATCCTCAAAGGCGGGTTTGGGTGGTTGAGAAACCAGAAGTCAGGCAGAGAATCTTGAGTTTAGAGGTATTTTGTGGTTTATCAGTGTTGCTCAACATCTGAACATCCCTCTCTGACTTCACTCTGACAAACTAATCCTACTTAATCCATGCTGAGTGAAAAGAGAAGCTCCACCAGAACAGAAATGAGACTTTTCTCTATTCTCTAGAAAGCGAAGCAGCTTCTGGTGAAGTCGAGTACCTTTGCGGCCTCTGGCATCTGTTTTCATTCATCGTTTTTGCCTTGTCTAACCTTTCTTTACTTAAATAAAAAGTTTAGTGAGGTTTTGTGAGCAAAGGAAGTGGTCAGCAAGGAAAACACCAGGTTCTAAAACAGGATCTCTCCGTATCTGGCTGAAAAGAAATCTGGAGATTTCCCATTGCCATGTGGAGACACATGTCTGGAGATCCCAGCGGAGGGTTACAGATCTGGTCAAAACACATCTGGGTTCAATTCTCTTTATCTCGACTAGAGTGACTGTTGTTGTAGCATCAAAAGAAAAGGGCCTAGCTCAAGATCTGGTGCATACTGCTCTGACAGGCAGCTGTTGCCACCTAAGAAATGTCAAAATAATCAGCTGGATCGGCCATAATGAGAAACTGATGGACTTCAAGGGAGAAAGGGAGGTTATCTTTTGCCCTACACCCAAGAAAATGGTCCCGCTTGTCAACACAGAGGACATCAAAGAGAGCGCATTTTCACCATGACGTTAGAACAGCAAAGTTTTGAAGATAGATGCATTTTTCTCATGACCTTCATCAAAATGTGCATTCTTACTGTTTTTAGTTTCAGGTGCTCAGCTGGATGCATGTGGCTAAAGTTAAAGGCCAGATGATGAACCAAAATCTAGATTTAAAGACTTAGCCAGCCACCTGGTAGAGGCAGAGATCTCTAGATCTGTTTGACGACTAAAGATAGTGGTATATACAGGCATTTACTCAAGTACTGTACTCATAGACTTTGATAGTATTTTCATTTTATGCTACTTTACTCAGAGGAAAAGATCGTACTTTTTACTCCACAACATTTAACATATGGAAGAAATTATTAGTTTATGAAATATAATGTATTATTTTAATCTACCCAACAGCATATGAAGTAGTTATATACAAGTATACAAATATAGTTTGTTATATACAAAAGTATTGATGGTGCACCGGGTAGTTTAGTGAACTTACATGATCACCTTCATAACAAAATTCAAATAGTACTACAGCACTACAGCATTACCATTAACCAATGCATAATTATGTTAATGCATCATTTATGATCTAATAATATATATTTCATTAGCTCTTTTAATATTTTGAAAGTAAAATATTAAAGTAACTAGTAACTAAAGCTATCAAATGTCATAAATTTGTCTTTGAGTAGAAGTATAAAGAAGCATTAAAAGGAAATACTTATTTAAGTAAACAAATTGTGCAGTACTTGAGTAAACACAGTTATACAGGCCACCTCTGGTTATTATTTGTATAGAATTATTACCACACAAGCAGTAAACCTTGTAATAAACCATCCAGTGAATTCATTTGACCTGTTTGACCCAGTAGAAACACAGAAACGCTATTGCACGACGCTGGTGTGAGTTAGTGCTAACTGGGTCAGAGCCGCCAAGAAATGAAGGCCATGTGAGATTCAACCACTCATGAGCCGAATTCTCAGTTTTTTCCGTTGGCACCCAACGAGAGGAACAACTGAGTCAGTCCCTCAAATTTAAATTCTGCCATACTCCTCTCTTTTTCTCTCTCTCTCTCCCCACTTTCTTTTACCGCTCTCTTCCTTCTAATGTCTTTACCTCTCCTGCGCTAATGTAACTCTGCACTTTAGATCATCTTCTCCGGCCCTTAAACCTTGTGTCTGTCTATTTTGTTCCCTCTGTCCTGGTGAGATTTATGTATAGTTAATTTGT